ACAATGGGGCAATCTAATTCTGTAGAGATTTACCACTTTGGAAACCCAATGGGGGTTGCTATGAGTCAGCGTCAATGACAGTGAATTTGGTTTTTGGTCATATTAATGGTATTTGATAATTTCCACATTCTGTTGAATGGGCACAAATATTGATCTCTTTTGGTCAGTTGGCCAGGAAGCTGTCTTCCAAATTTCTTGGCATAAACAAGTAAGCACCTCCAGTGCTGCATCAGTTTGTTGAAATGTGTCAATGGGTATTCCGTCAATTCCTGGAGGCTGTTTTTTCACCAATTCCTTCAGTGCCAATTGGACTTTTTCCTTTAATATCACTGGTTTTTGATCATATGCTATCTCTTAAAAATAGTTGAATATTGACCAGTTCTTTTTGGTGAAGTGTATATTCCTTCCATCTTTATTATTATTATTATTAATTGTGATTTGGCTGAAAGTTTACAGAGCAAATTCACTTTCCATACATCAGTTCACATATACTTTGTCTCAATTTACCACAATGTAACAGCTCCCCACCCAGTTCCTTCCTATAGTTACTTCTTGCCTGTGTCCTTCCCTGTATGTACTCCTGCCCCCTGAGCTATGTCTCTGTGCATGATTGTTCTCTGCAAGGAATGTATCTAGCTAGCGTAAATATTCACCTCATATGCCTGTCTTTTGTTTGTCTGGAAGCCACTGGAATGGGTTCAATTCCAAACCTGAAGGGCAGCTAGGGGCTACCCAGTGGTTGCACCAGGCTTTATCAGACCAGCAAACCTGGTCCTTTTTTCTTTTCTTTTTTTTCCCCCAAATGATTTTGAGTTTTGTTCCACATTGTTCTCCCACTCTACCCAGGATCTCCTACATAGATCCCCCTCCAAGTGGTTGAAAGTGGTAGCCAGGCACTATCTACTTCTTCTGGTCTCATAGTTGTATAGCCTGAGGATCACATGGTGTACCAATCACTTGGACTAATTTTTTCCATGAATCTTTGGTTTTTTTCATTCTTCTTTGCTCTGGACAAGGAAAGACCCATCATTGCATCTAGATGGCTGCTTGCAAGCTTTTAAGATCCCAGTTGCTACTCGGCAGAGTTACTCCTTCCATCTTTTGATGCTTCCTGCATCATTCACTATTTTGCCCATAGAATCCTTCAGTATTACAACTTGAAGCAGGAATTTTTGTTCTGTTCTTTCACCTTGAGAAATGCTGAGCATGTTCTTCACTTTTGGTTTTCTAATTCCAGATCTTTGCATATTTCATTATCATACTTTAGTTTGTCTTCTTGAGCCACCGTTTGAAATCTTTTGTTGAGCTCGTTTATTTCAACAGTTCTTCCTTTCTCTTTAGCTACTCACCATTCAAGGGCAAGTTTTAGAGTCTTCTAACATCCATTTTGGTCTTTTCTTCCTTTCTTGTCTTTCTCATGACCTTTGGCTTTTTTCTTGTATGAGGTTCTTTTGTTGTTGTTGTTTGGCTGGAAGCCACAGGAGTGAGTTCAGTTCCAGACTGAAGGACTGAAGAGTAACTAGGGGCCACAGTGTCAGGGGTCTCACCAGCCTCCATCAGACAAGTAAACCTGGTGTTTATTATTATTTTGAGTTTTATTCTCCCAGTCTATCCAGGATCTCTTGTACTGATCCCTTTCTGAGTGGTTGACAGTGGTAGCCGAGTACCATCTAGTTCTTCTGGTCTCACGGTCATACAGGATGAGTATTGCATGGTCTACTTGTCCCTTGGACTAATTTTTCCATGCATCTTTGGTTTTCTTCATTCTTCTTTGCTCTGGATGAGGAGAGACCCATTGTTCCATCTAGATGGCCACTTGCAAGCTTTTAAGACCCAGTGGCTCCTTACCAACATAGGATGTAGAACAATGTTTTTGTGCAATGTGTTATGCCAGTTGAGCTTGATGTCCTCTGTGACTGTGTTCCCAAGCCCATGAGCCCAGTAACTCACTCCCTTAGGGTTTTTGGCTGTAGCTAAGAAGTTATAACTGTTCCCTGTTAGCTCTGTTTTGAGCTGATTGTGGAACAGACCATCAACTGCTCATA